ATGGATATTGTTTCACACGTTGGATTAAAACAACTTGGGAGGTTGTTAAACAGAAAAATGGATATTGTTTCACACATTAGTTTAAAACAGCTTGGGAGGTTGTTAAACAGACAACTGGATACTGTTTCACACGTTGGATTAAAACAACTTGGGAGGTTGTTAAACAGAAAAATGGATACTGTTTCACACGTTGGATTAAAACAACTTGGGAGGTTGTTAAACAGAAAACTGGATATCGTTTCACACATTAGTTTAAAACAGCTCGGGAGGTTGTTAAACAGAAAACTGGATATTGTTTCTGATTTAAAACAGTTGGGTAGGTTGTTAAACAACTGGATATCGTTTCACACGTTTGTTTAAAACCGTTTGGGAGGTTATTGAACAGAAAACTGGATATTGTTTCACACGAACTGAGTAGTAGACTGGTTTCTTAACACACTTCAGAAATATGAAGCAAAGACACAAAAAACGCGAGAAGAGAACTACACTTATTTAAGGAAATTGTTTTGTCTTAACTGAAACTTAATTAATATTCATGTTCTTGAAACGTTTTAAAAATCATTCACCTTATGATTGTTTAAAACAGTTCTTGTAGCTTTCTTAGTGCAATGCTACACAATAGGCATCTACACTCTGTCAGTTCTTGTATCTTCTTAGTGCAATGCTACACAATAGGCCATCTACACCCTGTCAGTTCTTGTAGCTTCTTAGTGCAATACTACACAATAGGCTATCTACACTCTGTCAGTTCTTGTAGCTTCTTAGTGCAATGCTATATAATAGGCCATCTACACTCTGTCAGTTCTTGTATCTTCTTAGTGCAATGCTAAACAATGGGCCATCTACACTCTGTCAGTTCTTGTAGCTTCTTAGTGCAATGCTATACAATAGGCCATCTACACTCTGTCAGTTCTTGTAGCTTCTTAGTGCAATGCTATTCAATAGGCCATCTACACTCTGTCAGTTCTTGTAGCTTCTTAGTGCAATGCTATACAATAGGCCATCTACACTTTGTCAGTTCTTGTAGCTTCTTAGTGCAATGCTATACAATAGGCCATCTACACTCTGTCAGTTCTTGTATCTTCTTGGTGTAATGCTAAACAATAAGCCATCTACACTCTGTCAGTTCTTGTAGCTTCTTAGTGCAATGCTATACAATAGGCCATCTACACTTTGTCAGTTCTTGTATCTTCTTGGTGTAATGTTAAACAATAAGCCATCTACACTCTGTCAGTTCTTGTAGCTTCTTAGTGCAATGCTATACAATAGGCTATCTACACTTTGTCCGTTCTTGTAGCTTCTTAGTGTAATGCTAAACAATAGGTCATCTACATTCTGTCTACTGTGGGGAATCGAACACCGGATTTTTGTGTTGAAATTCCATATTATTACGTTTGCTTGTTCTAGCTACGAAATAGGTCATGTGCGCTCTGTCCTGGATTTTAGAATTGTAAATCCGTAAATTTACCGCTGACCCACTGGGGGACTTGAATAAACAAATCATTTTTAAAGTATATGAAAGTGCATTAGTACTGTACATAAGATAAATCAAATATGAGAACAACATTTATATATGATCTGCTCACATCTTTAGGAGGTGATTGGAAATATAGGGGTATTTATCTAACTTATCAGTTTATCAAAGTATGATTACAGTTGAATTTAAGTTCATTAAATAAACTTAGACTGAATTGTCTTTGTACATTTATATAACACGCTCTGCATATCTCATCCGAGGGAGACAAACAAAGTTGTCATGGTAACGGAAAAAGTAAAAGACTAGAATGACGTCATTAGGTACTGAGGCAAATGACACCGATAACCGATGAGATATATAGAAGAACGGCATAAAAAACTGACAAAACATTCTTAAGACAGAAAATAGTTACAATATATATATATATTAACATAGCAAGCTTCTGTTGCTTCGCACCTGTAGAAGGCTTAGGTAATTGAGTCGAAAGCTTGTGCGTTAAAAAAACGTGGTGATAGTCCAAATAAATTACTTAATACAAATAGCAGTCTTCTCGTTGGACTGATACAGGATTGGAAAAGAAAAAACGATTTTTGATTCTCAGAGTTTATATCGAGGGTTTTGACTTGACATATATTTTGTCATGTGGCCAATCTGACGTTCTACTCATCAAGCTCAATTCAAACTCACGCTCAGTTATGGTTTAAAGTAAAAACCAGTTCCTAGTAAACTTGTGTGAATAACGTTGATTTTAAGTAGGAAAAGAAAAGTAACCATAAAGTGTGGTCCACTTTTATAAACTCCAACAAGAGTAACCATAAATTGTGGTCCACTTTTATAAACCAAGGAAGAGTAACCATAAATTGTGGTCCACTTTTATAAACTCCAACAAGAGTAACCATTAATTGTGGTCCACTTTTATAAACTCTAACAAGAGTAACCATAAAATGTGGTCCACTTTTATAAACTCCAACAAGAGTAACCATAAATTGTGGTCCACTTTTATAAACCTAGGAAGAGTAACCATAAATTGTGGTCCACTTTTATAAACTCCAACAAGAGTAACCATAAATTGTGGTCCACTTTTATAAACCCAGGAAGAGTAACCATAAATTGTGGTCCACTTTTATGAACCACACTTTACGGAAATATACTGCACAGATTATTAGTCATACTTTAAAATCACGTAATATTTTTGAGATCTACTTCTTCCATTGTCTCAGTCTGATGATCACGATTATTTACTAATAGTCGACATCACAATTTCCACTGTAATAAAGCTTTGTGAAGAAAACAGGCCAATCTCAAGCTAGGCATCTTGACATAATATCCACAGACTCTCCGCTATACGTTGACGTTGCTTCCAATACTATGTTTAAGTAAACCAAAGACACAAAAGGTATATTGGAATAGCACTGGGGGCACGTGATACCCAGTTTTCAGCCATCTTAATAATTGAAACAAAAACTTAAGTTTGAAGTGTGGCTTGTAGCTTATGAACTGTGGGTTTGTGGGCCTTTGACAACCTCAACATTTTTTTATTCCCTTAATGGTACTAAGAGATTTGGTCATCTTCATTGCAATGCTATTTTGGGTTCAAAGGCTCTCTTTCGTAACCATAGCCTTTACTTTGTGGATGAAGGCGTTGCTCAAGATCAGATTTTAATTGGTTTTGAAACTTGGCTGGGCGACTTTTTCGCTTCCATACAGAACATTAGGGCTCTCGTCTTCGACATTATTATTTTCTGGCTATACATCAATTAACAGTCTCTCTCTTGGAAGAAGTATGACATATCACAAGTTTGCCTCTGGCGAAGGGTTACATATGTTCTGTACATCATTGCAATAGTTCGTGCAAATCGCTCTTTTACAATCAGGGCAACATTTAATACCAGCAAAAATCCAAAAATAAATTAATATTAATTAACGAAATTTATATGAAAATTTGAACCATGTAAATTGTATCATTTTTCAAACTCACCTGAAACCTGTAGAGGGTGCTGTCGTCTTTCAGCGCAAACTTTGTGTCATTAACAGGAAAGAAGTAACCATGTTGACAAAGTAGGTTAGCTAGGTGGATGGCCTCCACTAACAGGTGCAAAAAATAAGCAGACGGTTCAGACAAAAATAATAATAATATAAAAAATATTATTTATGCAAAAAAAACAAAAAAAAAAACGTCAATCAAATATACCTCGAAATTGTTAGAAATGAACCATAAGAATTTTGTGTTTGTCAATGAAATGTTTTAATTCAATGTGACACTTAAACAGGAAATTCGTTTCAAGCGGAAATCTGTTTATTTTTGCGAGATTTATAACTTACTAATAATCATTTTGTCGCATGTTTTCCTTTTATCATTACATTAGTATCTCGTGAGTCACCATGTTGTAAGTAGTTAGGGAGGCACTTCAGCATCCAAAGGATGCCACCAGCCACTGTGAGGGGTGATGTCATCAAAGATGATGAGGTCATAGTTACAAAAGTTGAGTCTTCATGTTGTAATTAGTAAGGGAGGCACTTCAGCATCCAAAGGATGCCACCAGCCACTGTGAGGGGTGATGTCATCAAAGATGATGAGGTCATAGTTACAAAAGTTGAGTCTTCATGTTATAAGTAGTTAGGGAGGCACTTCAGCATCCAAAGGATGCCACCAGCCACTGTGAGGGGTGATGTCATCAAAGATGATGAGGTCATAGTTACAAAAGTTGAGTCTTCATGTTATAAGTAGTTAGGGAGGCACTTCAGCATCCAAAGGATGCCACCAGCCACTGTGAGGGGTGATGTCATCAAAGATGATGAGGTCATAGTTACAAAAGTTGAGTCTTCATGTTATAAGTAGTTAGGGAGGCACTTCAGCATCCAAAGGATGCCACCAGCCACTGTGAGGGGTGATGTCATCAAAGATGATGAGGTCATAGTTACAAAAGTTGAGTCTTCATGTTGTAAGTAGTTAGGGAGGCACTTCAGCATCCAAAGGATGCCACCAGCCACTGTGAGGGGTGATGTCATCAAAGATGATGAGGTCATAGTTACAAAAGTTGAGTCTTCATGTTATAAGTAGTTAGGGAGGCACTTCAGCATCCAAAGGATGCCACCAGCCACTGTGAGGGGTGATGTCATCAAAGATGATGAGGTCATAGTTA